GTGCCTGGTATAATACTGTGCACAGAATTTGTTATGTAATATAGATTTAAAAATAAAAGCACATCATCTCCTTTGCTGTTTACTAGGGGAAACTTAAATCCAGGCACTAACAACTGAAAGGAAATAACTGGTAAGCTAAAATTTTACTTCCAACTATCCTTCAAAAACTAAGATGCAATAATGCTATTTGTTTATTTATTTAGCGAGTATATTCCAAAGAAAAACTAAGTTAATTTGTTTATTTATTTATTTGTTTTAAGACAGAGAAAAACTAAATTTATTTGTTTGTTTGTTTATTTATTTATTTTTTTAACTCTCACTCTGCTGCCCAGGCTAGAGTGCTGTGGCATCATTGCTCACAGCAACCTCAAACTCCTGGACCCAAGTGATTCTCTTGCCTCAGCCTCCTGAGTAGCTGGGACTACAGGTGGCTGTCACAATGTCAAGCTAGTTTTTCTATTTTAGTAGAGACAGTGTCTTGCTCTTGCTCAGGATGGCCTCAAACTCCTGAGCTCAAGCAGTCCACCTGCCTCAGCCTCTCAGAAGGGCTAGGATTATAGACATGAGCCATTGAGCCCAGCCAAAAAAACTGAGTTTATTACTGAAAACCTACACTGAGAAATCTAATTTAGGCCTAAGAAAAATGATCACAGGTAGAAGGTGAAGTTGCAGGAAGGTATGAAGAACAGAAAAGAGTGATACACAGGTAAATCTGTGTGGATCCTGAGTGTGGAAAACCAGAACAACTATGCCTCTTGGGAGGATTAGATGTATGGCATTAAAATTTACAACCAAATCAAAACATAATTATGCCATAAGAAATTAAAAAAAATCAAAACATAAGAGAAGGATAAATAGGATTAAAGTCTTTGAGGGATGTTGTGCATTATCAAAAATGGTAAAAGCAAAAGTATATACATTTATAACACGTCTTCCATACATTCCTGTTATAATCCCTAGGGGGTATCTATTGCAAGTAAAAAAATGTATAACTAACAAGCTCATAGAGGAGGGAAAATGGAATAATAAAAAAAATACTTGATTATTTCAAAAGAAGATAAGAAAGGAGAAATAGAGGGAAAAAGAACAGATAGACAAATAAAAGACAGACAAGAAAGGGACAGGTTTAAACCCAGATATGAGTAATTACATTAAAAATGTAACCCCCCCTGAAATTCTCTAATTAAATGACAAAAACTGTCAGACTAGATTTAAGAAAAAAAACTTAAATATGTGTACCTTAAAAGAGACATTCTTTAAATAAAGACAAAAAAATTCAAAGCAAAAGTGTTGAAAAGAGAGAACATATAATTCAGAATGCCGTATTCAGGGTTTGTTTGGTTTTCCAATAACTTTGGCAAAATCCCGGTAACTTTCAACTATCCTCCTACTGTTTTGCTGCTGCTTCCAAATGCTCAGGCCCAAAAGGAAGAACAGATAACGACTCTGAGCTTGGATATTGAACTTGAAAGAAGAAAGTGCTGAAAAGTACACCTCACCCCTGAGGTAAAGAGTCAGACTCTGGATGTGCTTAATTTAAAAACGGCTAATAAGCCACCATGGTTAATAATGGACCAGCTTTTCTTGACAGAAGTAAAAAAAAGCCACAGTAGGGATAATCCTTTGAGTAGAAAATAACATGGGTGCTCTCAGGATCATGAATAGGGAAAAATATTACCTATTAAAGAGAAAAAACAGTCATTTTTACACATTAAGAATCCATTAACTCCTGAGACAAAATGTGAAATCCCAGCAGTACCACCATCTACAGAATGTTCAAGTCCATCTTAAGATGGGAAGAATACGCCTCAATTACTCCCCGTGTTTTCTCATTTTCTTGTTTGGCTGGAAAAGTCTCCGTGATAAACTATAGACAAGCAGTTACGTGCAGTGTGATTACAGGATGAGCATCCCTCATCCCCAAATCCAAACTCCAAAACTTTTTGAGCCCCAACCTGACACCACACGTTGAAAATTCCACACATACTTAACACAAACTTTGTTTCATGTAAGACATTATTTAAAATATTCTATAGGGTTACTTTCAGACTATGTGGTCTATGGAACATAAATGGATTTTATGTTTAGACTTGGGTCTCATTCCAGGGGAAGTCCCAAACTCAAAAACAATCTCAAATTCTGACACAACGTCTGATCCCGAGTATTTCACATAAGGGAAACTCAACCTGTAATAAGAACTGGCGGCCAGAAATCCACGCTCATTGGCTAATAGAGTCAGAACTGGACACAGAAGGCTGCTAGACAATGATGTACATTATTAAAATGTGGAACGAGGAGCTTAACATTGTCATCCCAGCCTCCATCGTAATGCTCTGACACCACTGTTTCTCAAAAAATAAATACCAAAAAATAAACACTATTAGAATCTTTTTGTATTCTAGAGGGGTAAGAGGAAGGAAAAGAATGAACGTATACAAAGTTTGGCACTTAGGAAGACGGTGCTTAGTTTTTCTATTCACCGACCTAATGATGTTGTTATGAATCACTCTCCTTAATATTCACTCTTATTTTTCCATGGGTCCACAAATCCTAACATTACATCGATCACACATAAGCTTTGTTATAAGAACCATCAAGATCAAGTGATTTATTCTCAGATACCTAAATCCTTCTCCAAGTCTGATGCTCATCCTACCAGTTCTTTGCTGAAAGTCTGTTTTGTCTCTGATCTCCCTCTATACAAACTGTAGCCATTTTATTTAATTAAAGGATAACCATCTCCCTTGCTTTTCCCAAAATCCAGCTAGGTATAGCCTCGTTTTCGTTGTGAATAAAATTTATTGAAATTATTGTTCAGAAAGTCACAAAGGACTGGTGTGTGTCTTTGAATGTTTACTGCTTGGTCAATTAGTATTTTTTCTCCAATTCTACATGTCAAAGAAGTTGGAAATATACCAAGAACTTTCAAGGCTACTTTCAAAGTCATTTAGAACCCATAAATTTTTATCCAAACAGTTACATGGATAAAAGATCCACCTGGTGAATGTTTACTTCAATAGTGAAGAAGTACTGCAGTATAGAAAAAGATAAAAGCATTTGGACTTTCCAAACATCTAAAGTATACTTAGGTATAAGTATGAAGTGCATACACTTGAGTTCCTTGATATACAGAAAAGTTGGTACAGAATGATAGTAAATTGAATTGATGTAAAAAAGAAAAAAGACAAAAATTCTACCCGGCTCTTTCAGGT